CGTGTAAGTGTCTTTCTCAGGAGATTCGAGATATTTTCTCGTAACTTTCTCCGGCAAAATCAGTAGCCCGAGTGAGATTTCTTCCCGCGAGTTATGACGGAGCACTGTCTAAAAATATCACAGTAAGAAATAAGCGTTGACAGGCCAAACACGACTCATAAGCTCGTGATAATGTGAAACGTGACCTTGAGAGTCTGCTTGAACAGTGGTTCTCTTTCTTTTTTCTCTCGCGCGAAGGTTACTATCACTACACAGTGCAAGACGTGTAGCATTCTAAACTTTGACTGAGTAAATCTTGTTTTTGCCGCACTAAGTCTTATATTTAGAGGTCATGAAGCAGGTTTCTTACTTGCATACTGAGTAATCATTACCTGTGGTTTATGCTTCTGTACTAAGAGAATTATCTTGACTGCATATTGCACGGCATATTTCTCCAAACTTAGTGTAGCTTTAGTTTTTAAGCTACAGTGTACAACTCATATCTGAAGATCGCACTATCCGTGGAAATTCAAAATCCTGCAAACCACACTATAGAGCTGGGCCCAGAGTCATACTGACATGGCAGGAAATAATCACATTCACGGACAAAGAAACTTGCATGCATGCATGTAGTTATTCAGATACAGCCATTTCGGAGAAAACCAAAAAAACTAAAATCTTTATTCAGCCATAATAAACAGAGCTCAAAGGATATAAAACACTTAACAACTGCATCTGAAATCAAATCCTGTCAGGGACACCTAGTACAGAAGCATAAACCACAGGAAATGATTACTCAGTATGCAAGTAAGAAACCTGCTTCATGACCTCTAAATATAAGACTTAGTGCGGCAAAAACAAGATTTACTCAGTCAAAGTTTAGAATGCTACACGTCTTGCACTGTGTAGTGATAGTAACCTTCGCGCGAGAGAAAAAAGAAAGAGAACCACTGTTCAAGCGGCAAGTAATTCATGGCAGTCTCCATATAGACTCCCTAATATATTAGTGCAATATTGTATACTCCTATATATCTTGTGTACCCATGTTTACCCTAGTAGTACTGTATACCCTGTATACCCCTATATATCCTGTGTACCCATGTTTACCCTAGTAATACTGTATACCCTGTATACCCCTATATATCCTGTGTACCCATGTTTACCCTAGTAATACTGTATACCCTGTATACCCCTACATATCTTGTGCACCCATGTTTACCCTAGTAATACTGTATACCCTGTATACCCCTATATATCCTGTGTACCCATGTTTACCCTAGTAATACTGTATACCCTGTATACCCCAATTTATCTTGTGTACCCATGTTTACCCTAGTAGTACTGTATACCCTGTATACCCCTATATACCTTGTGCATCCATGTCCACCCTAGTAATACTGTATACCCTGTATACCCCTATATATCCCGTGTACCCATGTTTACCCTAGTAATACTGTATACCCTGTATACCCCTATATATCCTGTTTACCCTTGATTACCCTAGTAATACTGTATACCCTATATACCCCTATATATCCTGTTTACCCTTGATTACCCTAGTAGTACATTATACCCTGTATACCCCTATATATCTTGTGTACCCATGTTTACCCTAGTAGTACTGTATACCCTGTATACACCTATATACCTTGTGCCCCCATGTTTACCCTAGTAGTACTGTATACCCTGTATACCCCTATATACCTTGTGCACCCATGTTTACCCTAGTAATACTGTATACCCTGTATACCCCTATATATCCTGTGTACCCATGTTTACCCTAGTAATACTGTATACCCTGTATACCCCTATATAACCTGTTTACCCATGTTTACCCTAGTAATGCTGTATACCCTGTATACCCCTATATATCCTGTTTACCCTTGATTACCCTAGTAATACTGTATACCCTGTATACCCTGTATACCCCTATATATCCTGTTTACCCTTGATTACCCTAGTAATACTGTATACCCTGTATACCCCTATATATCATGTGTACCCATGTTTACCCTAGTAGTACTGTATACCCTGTATACCCCTATATATCTTGTTTACCCATGTTTACCCTAGTAGTACTGTATACCCTGTATACCCCTATATACCTTGTGCACCCATGTTCACCCTAGTAATACTGTATACCCTGTATACCCCTATATATCCTGTGTACCCATGTTTACCCTAGTAATACTGTATACCCTGTATACCCCTATATAACCTGTTTACCCATGTTTACCCTAGTAATAATGTATACCCTGTATACCCCTATATATCCTGTTTACCCTTGATTACCCTAGTAATACTGTATACCCTGTATACCCCTATATATCCTGTTTACCCTTGATTACCCTAGTAATACTGTATACCCTGTATACCCCTATATATCATGTGTACCCATGTTTACCCTAGTAGTACTGTATACCCTGTATACCCCTATATATCTTGTTTACCCATGTTTACCCTAGTAGTACTGTATACCCTGTATACCCCTATATACCTTGTGCACCCATGTTCACCCTAGTAATACTGTATACCCTGTATACCCCTATATATCTTGTTTACCCATGTTTACCCTAGTAATGCTGTATACCCTGTATACCCCTATATAACCTGTTTACCCATGTTTACCCTAGTAATGCTGTATACCCTGTATACCCCTATATATCCTGTTTACCCTTGATTACCCTAGTAATACTGTATACCCTGTATACCCCTATATATCTTGTGTACCCATGTTTACCCTAGTAGTACTGTATACCCTGTATACCCCTATATACCTTGTGCACCCATGTTTACCCTAGTAACACTGTATACCCTGTATACCCCTATATATCTTGTGTACCCATGTTTACCCTAGTAGTACTGTATACCCTACACACCCCTATATACCTTGTGCACCCATGTTTACCCTAATAGTACTGTATACCCTGTAGACCCCTATATATCTTGTGTACCCATGTTTACCCTAGTAGTACTGTATACCCTGTATACCCCTATCTATCGTGTGTACCCATGTATATCCTGTACCCATGAATACCCTAGTAATACTGTATACCTTGTATACCCCTATATATCCTGTGTACCCATGTTTACCCTACGGTAATACTGTATACCCTGTATACCCCTATATATCTTGTGTACCCATGTTTACCCTAGTAGTACTGTATACCCTTTATACCCCTATATACCTTGTGCACCCATGTTTACCCTAGTAATACTGTATACCCTGTATACCCCTATATATCCTGTGCACCCATGTTTACCCTAATAGTACTGTATACCCTGCATACCCCTATATACCTTGTGCACCCATGTTTACCCTAATAGTACTGTATACCCTGTATACCCCTATATATCGTGTGTACCCATCTTCTGAGGCACTGAAACGCTCCCTTTACTGGATTATATGGTCAAAAAGAAGAGTTATATCCAACTAAAAAAGTTCTGTGATGGTCAGATTCGCGAGAACCTCTGAAACAAAAAGCGAACACATTTTAAAAACAAGTACCGGAACATGACAAAAATGTCAAGTAAGTGTTGTACATTCATTCTTGTTCTTATTTTTGTTTTATTTTATTTTTTTCATTCTTTTCTCTACGGATATATATATATATATATATATATATATATATATATATATATATATATATATATATATTTACATGAAAAATATTTACATATTTACAGCCATAATAGGGCGACTAGGTCTCGTGTCCTGTAAGAGCGCGCGCGTGTTTATCTTCTTTTGTAGCACGTGCAAGTTTTCAAATTTGCTCGTTATCATTTACGGTAGTTATCTTTGGCTTCTAAAATTAAATCAACGGTAGCTAATTTTGTTCTAGGGGAGGGGATCGTAACCTAATCAGGAACAGGGAATATTTTGAATTGTGGTCGTAATAACTTTGTTATAAACAATTGCAATATCGTTTTAGCCCCACTGATACCATCATGTCGAACTGACTATCATCGTTTTGCATTTGTTACTTTCAGATTGGAAACTGGAATTTGTAACAGCTGTTGCTGTGATTATTCTCTGTGTTTATTGCATTACTGTTGCAGGGATTAGCTTGTGAGAGCGAGCCCAGAAGTATGTTGATGAATTAATAAAAAAATTTGATGAAAATTCACAACACTTTAGCCACTGTCCTATTATCTTTCCCCCTCTACCATCTCCTGGATCACCAATAGAAGATTACTTCTTACCTAAAGTAATGCTCTGGAGTCCCAAAGAACAGTTTCAGATTGCTCTCAATTGTCCTTTGCATGGTAACGATCTACATCGAAACCAGTGGACAAGATGCGTTTCTGGAAAAGGTGGAGAAAAAGCTAGGTTAATCTATGATTTCATGGAAGATATCGTTCTTGTACAGGGAATCTACAGGTGTGGAAATGATAGACAAAGACACAAATTGCAGGCGACCACGCCCGATGTTCATAATCTGCTTCCAGGATACATTCAAGAATTTTTCCCCCTAGAGATTTTCCAGAGATGTGGTGTTTCCAAAGCTATGGTTCATTTCTTTGACATCCAAATTTTAGAGGGAGTTAGCTTTCTCAAAATAAGCGAAGGTTTGGCGTCTTTAAACTATCGCCAGTATCTTCAAAGAAGAAGGATATATTTCAGTGCACGCAAAGGTAATATGTGCAGCGTACCAGACATCGCTGAGTTCCACAATAATCCTCTATATTCTTTTCCGAGCAATGACCAGATAATGAAGATTTTCCTCCACAATTTTGAAAAAAACAGGGCGATTTACGATGAGGAGATGAACCGATTGACAGTTTCATCTTTGTCTTGTGATCACACCTTTAAAATAAGTCGCAATATTGGGTTCGTCAGGGAGAAAGATAACAAATTTGTAACCCAGTTCACCAATTATTTATTTGCCTAAATGAACGTGGGGAAGTTGTGGCATGGAAATTGACAAAGTCGACGTCCTTCAATGAAATTGAAGACCTTCTTATCCAACTCAAGAGAAGGCTGTCTTTTTCTGGAAACTCTTTAAAGCTTGTTTGCGTGGATGATTGCTGTCATGTTAATTAGCAGCAAGTACAGCAATATCTTTCCAAACGTCTCTGTCCAACTTGATCTGTTTCACGCATGTCAAAGAATAACGAGAACATTTGCTCGACAAAATGCTCTTCATAAAGAAGTGTCAAAATCTTTTGTTCAAATATTTCGTGACGACGATGACCAAGGCGAGAAACGACTTAAAAGCACTGTGTACAAGGAAAAGATGGAAAAAAATCTTAACTCGTTTATAGAACGCTGGAGCAATGTTCTCTTTAGCCCTCTTACAGAAGCAACTTTTATAGAAATTGAAAATCTACGCAAGCATATACAGAAAGGCTGTTTATCAGAAATACCTCCAGGATGTGGTACAGAGAGAAACGAGGGATTGCACAGACTTTTAAACAGGTCGATGATTTCTGGAGCCACTACTCTTTCCGTCCAACTAGCAATAGCATTGCTGACTCTATTATTCTACCATCACAATCAAAAAATATCTGCAGAAAAACATTGTTGTAGTTCAAAAATCAGGCCTGTGGCACCAGTCGAAAGTAATGTCACCAGCTGTAATGCGTTAACTGGAAATGCTGAATTTGAAACAGAGTCAGTTGATGATAAAGTTCGCCAGCCTCAGTTTTCAACAGAATTATAGATATAGAGGATGGAAAAATTTTCCAGATTTCCGAAAACTCATCTGCTTCGAGTAATCCTTTTGTTATAATGGTTGACACCATTGAAGATCTCTGTCAGGAATCGATTGCAGCGGCTCTAATAAGTGCAACGTATAACCTTTCCGAAATGATAAAAAAAGTAAAAGAGAAAAACAATGATCGTTCTTTTAATGCTCTTGACATTGTTCATCTCAGCAAAATGACAAAACTTCTTACTTCTGAAGACAACATTGACACCGACGACCCAACGATCAACAGCCATAGTGACACGCTCAAACGGCATTTAGCCACATTCAACCTGCAGCTGGATATGAGTCCAATCTGATGGGGACTGTGCCTTCCGTAATAACAATAATGAGACAAGTAAGAAAACTTGTGCACAATGAGGCAGGTCAATTATCAGAGCACCTGAGGCTTCTAGGACTCTTAAATACTGAAGACCTGGATACGTACACTCTTCGACAACTATTTGTAGATGCAGTTTTAGCTGACGACTGCAGCATCTCAAACTTCGTCGAAGGTTCCCAGGCAGATGTTGAAAGGAAAGCCCGCGAGTTTAGCGTAAGAGGTTTTTTTGATCAAGAAATTGGCGACTTTGTAATAAGACTGTGTTCAAATATCTTGCAAGTTCCAATTATGGTGATAACGTCTTCTGAAACAATTCCTTTTTTGCCCTTCAACTGCGATAATCCTTTGAGTAACACCCCAATCTATATTGCTTACCATTATTTTGGGGCAGGCCATTACGATGCTACGGAGAGCATAACCAATGGTAAGTTGAAGTGAATGGTAAATTTAACAGGGATAAGTCTGTCAACTCAAGGAACTGCGTTATGGGCAGCCGTAAAATCAAAAGTTGTAAATACCAGTTTGTTATGGGTGACCAAACTTTTATCATCCATGTCATGATCATAATAATGACTTATTTTGACGTGTTATAAGTTTTATAATTACTCAAGTGGGGCTAACAATAGGTTTTATGTTAAATAGTTGGTCACGTGATCGACTTTCTTCAGAATATGTTCAAAAGGCCCGATTGCAACGCCTACCGAGAGTACAAGGATTTGTATGGTAGAAAAATTCAACCGTGACTGGGTGGCAAGAGTTTATTTTCCCAATCGCTATTTTCACATACACCATAATGGTTACAATGGTTTACAATGGTTATTCAAAAATTTGGGAGGTCAACAAGGTGCAATACGGCGTATTTAAAAAGGTTGAATACGAACATTCTAATTGTCGTCGGCCGTTTACAATCGCTACTTTTGAAATATACGACTGAAAATTTGCAGGTTATGTAATTTTAATACGCCTTTTTCAGTTCTTTCTAACACTAGTTTTTCCTAAACTCACTAAGTTTTGTTTTCAGTCAGTTGTTGGCATATACAAGGAAACCTGAGACAAACCTCGATCGGTTAGGCAACCTCGAGACCTATGAATACCATTAAAGCCATGCTAGTAGTTACACGGCCGGTAAAACGAAAAGGAACAGCAACGATACTAAACAACCTAACAATAATGATAACAACAATAATGATAATAAAACCAAGTAATCAACGATTTTTTTTTCCAGATCCTATCGAGGCTGAACTTCAACATGCTCAGGAACAGGCAGTTTCCCAAATTTGCTATTGTGGACGGAAGGCAAAATCCAGAAGTGAGCGCTTTTGTGTTTCAACTGAAAAATCTCGTTGCCCGTGTGTTTCTAACAAAAAAAATTGCCAAGCTCAGTGCAAGTGCCGCAACTGCGACAATCGCAGTCAGAATCGCCAAAAACTGTCATGCCGGTGTGGAGAAAGCAGGGCTAAAGGACGGAAAACAGGTCAAACCTCTTGCATAGATGTAAGTGGTCAGAGGCGAACAAAATGTCCCTGCTACTCCAATGGTAAACCTTGCTCTATCCTCTGCTCATGTTTCAACTGTGAAAATAGATATGGAATAAGGGTTACTCACAGCACAGACGATTGTAAGGCAGAGAAAAAGAAGAGAATAACTTCTAAACCACCATCATTGAAGAGGCGGTGAACAGCAGCTATCCTGGAGGAGGAGGGATCTGATTTGCAGCCCGGACCATGGACCCTCGAAGAGAGCTGTCTGTTAGACTCCGTTGAGTCATTCATTTTGAACACGTGTGTTATCCCACGTTACAGAAATATATCCATATTGTATAATTTTGTGAGCAAGGGTCTGCGTGGAAATAATATACAGTTTACAGTATAACCTCTAAAACAGAGAGGCAAATTCAAGGAAAATTGGAATTTGTAAGAAAAAAACATTTAGCTCTAAAGAATCTTTATTATGGTATTTCAGTTCTTGATAACCAAGGGAACTCGGACTGACTGTTCTATTACCGTATCAAATGGTACCATCCACAAGAGAAATATAGTAAACATTGAGCAATCTTGACTTCGGCCGTTATGTTTAGAAAAAAAAATAGCTTTTGAAACAATTTACAGTGTATTAAGAATCCAAATAATAATTTTAAAGGCTTATTGTGTGAAAGTCATATTATTCTTGTAAGGCAACAAAATCACGCGAGGGCAATGGGCAACACACCCCTTCATTGTCTGTATAGTAGTCAGTTGCCTAGTAAAATAAAATCGCCTTTCAGATCACTCAGTCTTTCAGTCAGATCGGGGCTAGCCAACAGTTTGATCTGCTAACCAATAAACTTTGTTGATCATACATTGTGGTCTATGTTTCCATGTGATTGAATATAAAGTGGAAACTGTTAGTATAGATTATCAAAAAAAAATTCCGTTATAAAATGGAGCAGAGCTGGAAGATTCGTTCTATACTCTCTATCGACAAGCAAAAGTCGTGATAGCTAATTTTGTTCAATCAGGACTTGTGATTTTGGAAACAACAACTTCATCATCATCATCTTCTTCTTTGTCATCCTCTCCTTTCTCTTCTTTATTTATGTTTGTTTTGTTGTACCCCCTGAAAACAGCAACCGTGTTTAACATTTACTCTTACAAATAGCGTATTTCAATTTCAATTATTTTTTTTGTTTAATTATACCAACTGTACGCTGAAATATGCTCGTTTCAATGATTCAGTTAGGTCAGACGCCGCTCTACGGATAATCGCCCAAGAAATACATACATCTTTATTTCACACTTACCCACTAATGCCTACAACGGACACTGGTTTCTTGCCTTATCGACATATTGTCATAGAGTCAACCGTTCTAGGGTGTGCATGAGTAAACAGGATAAACATGGTATACAGAATACTAGAGTTTACATGGGTAAACGGAATATTGCAGAGTATAACTAAACAGGAGATTTAACAATTATTCCACGAGTGCGCGTATGCAATGAGATGATTGTAGGCAACCAGGCGCGTAGCGACGAGTTTGCTATAATAATGTCATATCCAACAAGCGCAAGTAGAGTAATTGTTTTACTAAAAACGCCCTCAAAATATCGAGAATTCGTTTTATTTGTAAGAACAACAGTTAAGATCTCAGGAATATCTTGCCATGCCGGCACAGCATATGCAAGTATAAATGATCTCACAGAGTACTTATAATATTGGTAATATTTCTGCCAGCTACAACAGCTCTTTTAAGCAAAATTAAGGAATACAATCATTTGGCGGCTTTACCATAAATATAATCAATGTGGTAGTTCCATGTAAGATCAAGCCTAATTTTTACACCAAGTTTTTTACTTGTCGAAACACGCCGCTCTAACTGATGGTTTCCAAAGCAAATAGGCTGTATGGTATTTACTATTATTGGGATATTTCATGAAATTTATAACCATTTGTTTATGATTTAACTTCATCTTATGCTCAATAAAAAAAATGCGCCTGCCTCTAACAAGCAAAATTCAAATCGCTAATGAAAACTGTAGGACGTATCTAGTATTGAGTCCATTTATCTAAATTGAGAAAAGGGGCACGCCCATCTTGGTTCCTGGTATGTCACCATGGGCGTGTTTCCACTCAGACAAGATATTACCTATACACAAACCTTGGGTTCTATTGGTCACAAAAGACTGACTTAATCCAATCAGATCGCACAGGTTCCAAACCAAGAAGTAGAGTTCGTCGATAAGTATGTGCTATGTGGTCTTGAGAAGAATTCTCCGCTAATATACAGAATGACTTTGGTAAACATGAGTAAGCACAATAAGCAAGGGTATACAGGGTATACAGAGACACTAGAGTTAACATGGGTACACAGGATATATAGGGGTATACAGAGTATACAGTATTACTAGGGTAAACGTGTACACAAGATATATAGGGGTATACAGGGTATACAGTATTACAAGGGTAAACATGGGTAAACAAGATACATACGGGTATACAGGGTATACAGTATGCCTAGAGTAAACATGGGTACATAGGATATATAGGGGTATACAAGGTATACAGTATGACTAGGGTAAACATGGGTAAACAGGATATACAAGGGTATACAAGGTATACAGTATTACTAGGGTAAACATGGATAAACAGGTTATATAGGGGTATACAGGGTATACAGTATTACTAGGGTAATCAAGGGTAAACAGGATATATAGGGGTATACAGGGTATACAGTATTACTAGGGTAAACATGGGTAAACAGGTTATATAGGGGTATACAGGGTATACAGTATTACTAGGGTAATCAAGGGTAAACAGGATATATAGGGGTATACAGGGTATACAGTATTACTAGGGTAAACATGGGTAAACAGGTTATATAGGGGTATACAGGGTATACAGTATTACTAGGGTAATCATGGGTAAGCAGGATATATAGGGGTATACAGGGTATACAGTACTACTAGGGTAATCATGGGTAAAAAGCTAGGTTATATAGGGGTATACAGGGTATACAGTATTACTAGGGTAATCAAGGGTAAACAGGATATATAGGGGTATACAGGGTATACAGTTTTACTAGGGTAAACATGGGTAAACAGGTTATATAGGGGTATACAGGGTATACAGTATTACTAGGGTAATCAAGGGTAAACAGGATATATAGGAGTATACAGGGTATACAGTATTACTAGGGTAAACATGGGTGCACAAGGTATATAGGGGTATACAGGGTATACAGTATTACTAGGGTAATCAAGGGTAAACAGGATATATAGGAGTATACAGGGTATACAGTATTACTAGGGTAAACACGGGTAAACAGGTTATATAGGGGTATACAGGGTATACAGTATTACTAGGGTAATCAAGGGTAAACAGGATATATAGGGGTATACAGGGTATACAGTATTACTAGGGTATTCAAGGGTAAACAGGATATATAGGGGTATACAGGGTATACAGTATTACAAGGGTAAACATGAGTAAACAGCTTATATAGGGGTATACAGGGTAAACAGTATTACTAGGGTAATCAAGGGTAAACAGGATATATCGGGGTATACAGGGTATACAGTATTACTAGGGTAAACATGGGTAAACAGGTTATATAGGGGTATACAGGGTATACAGTATTACTAGGGTAATCAAGGGTAAACAGGATATATAAGGGTATACAGGGTATACAGTATTACTAGGGTATTCAAGGGTAAACAGGATATATAGGGATATACAGGGTATACAGTATTACTAGGGTAATCAAGGGTAAACAGGATATATAGGGGTATACAGGGTATACAGTTTTACTAGGGTAAACATGGGTAAACAGCTTATATAGGGGTATACAGGGTATACAGTATTACTAGGGTAATCAAGGGTAAACAGGATATATAGGGGTATACAGGGTATACGGTATTACTAGGGTATTCAAGGGTAAACAGGATATATAGGGGTATACAGGGTATACAGTATTACTAGGGTAATCAAGGGTAAACAGGATATATAGGGGTATACAGGGTATACAGTTTTACTAGGGTAAACATGGGTAAACAGCTTATATAGGGGTATACAGGGTATACAGTATTACTAGGGTAATCAAGGGTAAACAGGATATATAGGGGTATACAGGGTATACAGTATTACTAGGGTAAACATGGGTAAACAGGTTATATAGGGGTATACAGGGTATACAGTATTACTAGGGTAATCATGGGTAAGCAGGATATATAGGGGTATACAGGGTATACAGTACTACTAGGGTAATCATGGGTAAAAAGCTAGGTTATATAGGGGTATACAGGGTATACAGTATTACTAGGGTAATCAAGGGTAAACAGGATATATAGGGGTATACAGGGTATACAGTTTTACTAGGGTAAACATGGGTAAACAGGTTATATAGGGGTATACAGGGTATACAGTATTACTAGGGTAATCAAGGGTAAACAGGATATATAGGAGTATACAGGGTATACAGTATTACTAGGGTAAACATGGGTGAACAAGGGTATATAGGGGTATACAGGGTATACAGTATTACTAGGGTAATCAAGGGTAAACAGGATATATAGGAGTATACAGGGTATACAGTATTACTAGGGTAAACATGGGTAAACAGGTTATATAGGGGTATACAGGGTATACAGTATTACTAGGGTAATCAAGGGTAAACAGGATATATAGGGGTATACAGGGTATACAGTATTACTAGGGTATTCAAGGGTAAACAGGATATATAGGGGTATACAGGGTATACAGTATTACAAGGGTAAACATGAGTAAACAGCTTATATAGGGGTATACAGGGTAAACAGTATTACTAGGGTAATCAAGGGTAAACAGGATATATCGGGGTATACAGGGTATACAGTATTACTAGGGTAAACATGGGTAAACAGGTTATATAGGGGTATACAGGGTATACAGTATTACTAGGGTAATCAAGGGTAAACAGGATATATAGGGGTATACAGGGTATACAGTATTACTAGGGTATTCAAGGGTAAACAGGATATATAGGGATATACAGGGTATACAGTATTACTAGGGTAATCAAGGGTAAACAGGATATATAGGGGTATACAGGGTATACAGTTTTACTAGGGTAAACATGGGTAAACAGGTTATATAGGGGTATACAGGGTATACAGTATTACTAGGGTAATCAAGGGTAAACAGGATATATAGGGGTATACAGGGTATACGGTATTACTAGGGTATTCAAGGGTAAACAGGATATATAGGGGTATACAGGGTATACAGTTTTACTAGGGTAAACATGGGTAAACAGCTTATATAGGGGTATACAGGGTATACAGTATTACTAGGGTAATCAAGGGTAAACAGGATATACAGGGGTATACAGGGTATACGGTATTACTAGGGTATTCAAGCGTAAACAGGATATATAGGGGTATACAGGGTATACAGTATTACTAGGGTAAACATGGGTAAACAGGATATATAGGGGTATACAGGGTATACAGTATTACTAGGGTAATCATGGGTAAGCAGGATATATAGGGGTATACAGGGTATACAGTACTACTAGGGTAATCATGGGTAAACAGGTTATATAGGGGTATACAGGGTATACAGTACTACTAGGGTAATCATGGGTAAACAGGTTATATAGGGGTATACAGGGTATACAGTATTACTAGGGTATTCAAGGGTAAACAGGATATATAGGGGTATACAGGGTATACAGTTTTACTAGGGTAAACATGGGTAAACAGCTTATATAGGGGTATACAGGGTATACAGTATTACTAGGGTAAACATGGGTACACATAAGATATATAGTGGTATACAAGGTATAAGAGATAACATATCAGGGAGTCTATATGGAGACTGCCATGAATTACTTGCCGTTCAAGCAGACTCTCAAGGTCACGTTTCACATTATCACGAGCTTATGAGTCGTGTTTGGCCTGTCAACGCTTACTTCTTACATTGTTTTTCTGGCACCAATCAGAAGCCAGAACGGCGGCGACCGTTGGAACTGGTCTGGTAAGACATTGTCCCCAGGGGCTCTTCTCGCCGTTCTTTACTTTCCTTCGTGCCATATTTTTCCGCCCGTTTAGACTTTCCCTCGCCCCCTTTATCTGCCCCTGGGTCTCCGAGGATGATGATAAAGCAGACTGCCAGGCATTAGCTTCGGTGAAAACGTGCCCGTGAGTCAAGCACTGCTTCTCACGAAATTTGTTCCAAGTGTCGAAACGGCGATGCCGTCAACTTTACTCTCTGCCCAAGAAACCACAACCGCTCAGCTGCGATGCCATTCTTGTTTTCCTGATCGGTTAGTAATTCTAAATGAAGACAGAATACTTTCAACCGATTAGAACAACGGATTTTTCATGGGCGGTTTCCGATTTCGGTCAAGTCATTACAGTGACCCTCTCACTGATCCTGCTATACATTAGGGGTTTAAAACCTACCCTTAATGAAAACATACCCAACGAAAAGCTTCATCTTTGAACTCGCCGCATTATTATTCTCTTTTGCTATTTTGTGATTGCTTAAAATAAGGCATGTATTTTTTTCTGGGGGGGAAATGATTTTAAGTTGTTACTCTCACCAGGATCTTCATGAAGGCCAGGATTTAGAAGAACGAAATACGAAAGAGGACAGCATAGTGAAAAGGCATTAAACATTTCAAAGCTAACATTGGCGGAAACCACCCGTCCCCTTATAATGGAGCGCGAACAGAGCCTTCCTTTTCCGTTCTTCTTATTGTCCCTCCCTTTTCTCTTCCTTTCCCCTGTCGACGCCTGCAGCCGCGCGGCCTATAAACCAAAATGGAGTGCCAGTTTCCCATGAAAGCCGTTGCTGTTGCCTCAAAGAACACGATCCTTTATCCAAGTGAGATGTTTACCTCACCGTGCCCTAGTTGTTCAAAAGGTGGATAACGGTATCCTGTGCATAATCATCAGGGAAGGGAAGGTACGCCCCTGCCGTGAAAAGAATGAAACATAAAATGAAGATGATTTAAACTAACGGCACTTTGAAGTTAAATTTATTCATGTACAAGTCACTTTGTGCAAGGTTGTGTGCGTTAACTACTTTTTGTACAGATTAATAAACGAACAAGAGTGTTTTTATTTTTAACTCGGTAAAACACGAACTACAAGTTTTGTTGAACACTTTTAAACACTCGCCGTAGACCTATTCATTTTCGTATGAGAGGTTCAAACACTCCCTAAGCATTACCTTGTTTTTTCAAAAACTGATTCCAACGAGTAATAACACTAACCAAGGTAAACTTTCCGTACGTTGGATAATTATAGGATGGTTCAGGAAGGGTAAAACGCCTTCTGTCAAAGTTGAGGTAGCCTGCGTAGCAAGCGTTTCCCTACACGTTTCCGAGCAAAGAACGAGGAACGAGATTCAGAGACCGCGAGACCCTTTCCTCGGTCTTTTTTTGCTCCAAAACCAAACGGAAACGCTTGCTACGCAATCTAAAGTTCAGTGAGGTTTAGATTGCATAATTACTGCAGGAAACGGAGTAAGCGCTTTCTACCTTATGAGGCAGATTAGCAAAGACAACGCGACGGCAGTGTAAAGCCTCGTGCAAACGGACGCAACATTTTTGGCCAAAAACTCCCAACATTTTGGATTTTACATGTTCGTTTGCGTTTGCGTTTGCACACCCCGTTGCGTGTTGTTGAGAGTTTTTGCGTAAAGTTTGAAACCGGTCAAACGTATAGCTTCGTACAAACGAACGCAGCAACTCGCAACATTGTTGGACCAACAATGTTGGGAGTTGTTGCGTCCCTTTGCACGTAGCCTTCGGGCAGTGAAAATCAATGGCGCGCGTGACCCAAAAAGCCGGCTTGACTAGTGGCAAAGCGGCGAAATGTGCACCGGAAGTCGCGTTCAGTCATTTCCGCGCGTTATCCCGTCGTTAACTGACTTTCCTGTTCTGTTGCTAAATCACTCTATGAACGCCGGACAGTTTGTCCACTTGTAGCACCCTCCCAGATAATGTACATCCGTATTCTCCTACCAGACGCATCTTCTTCGCATTAGGAATTAACGCCAGATGCATGTTGGAAAGTAAAAACAATATTTTAATCTCCATGTAGAACAGCGACTCCCATATCACATCGACTTGTTGCCATGGAGCTTACTGAAGTCCACTCTTGTAGCAATGGATCATATCTCTCAAATGAGTCCAACAAAGAAAAACCATCGTAACCACCAACCGCATAAAGCTTGCCGCCCATGACTGCTGTGCCTACATAGCACCGCTTTGACTTCATTTCTGCAATGCTCATCCACTGATCATTACATGAGCTGTAACACTCCACAGATGACAAGTGTTGACTTCCATCGTAGCCTCCGACAGCAAATAGTTGGCTATCAAGCACTACTATTCCAGCACCTGTATTGAAAAGAAACACTGATCAACTACATGGCGAAAGACTAGACTTGCTGTCACTGCATACATACACATAGCTGAACACATTATCCCTTCTGAGAGAACTTTCTTTTCTTACCAAAAGAGCTTGGGTTGCTTTCATTTCTTTATTTTTAATTCGCTTTGTGTAACTTTAGCACTTTAAATTACAAGAACACAAACACTAATAATAGGTTATACTAAACAAACGTTACAACCACCGTTAAAGCACAGTCAAAAATTACATGAGATCATTTTTGGTTTTCACAGCTGTATTGATATATAACAGAGAGAAAACTACATGGCAGGGAGAATGAGAAAATATTTTGTATGAAATCCCACTTTCTTCTGTATTTATCTTGTTCGCCCGATTTAGTTGCGATGAGAGATATAAAGTCATCGTACTGAAATTTGTTTTTAGCATCGACATTAAGTGTATGGAAAGTACTTCCTATAATTATGAGATGGTTTAGGTTTAAACAGTGACAAGAAGAGTAAAATGTACAATATAAAACATCTAAATTTGAAAGTTCTCTTTGTGGCAACTGAACCAGTCTTGGAAATCTACCCAGAAAGAGCTGAAAGTGCAAAATGGGCAATTCAATTTGAAGATTCGAGTTTCTTCGTTTCATATAATAAGCTATTCGTGGGCAGAATTCTATTAACAAGAACGCTCTTACACCGGCGTTAAGTCTCGCTTGCTTGCAGATTATCGAGAAATGAGAAGGCGATTAATTCTCTATAAAATAGGATTTACTCGCCAAAGGTTTTTCACTTCCTACTTTATCGACGGTCGTGTATTCTTCAGGATATTTACTTTTTTTGTTTCTGAATTGATTTAGTACACGTGTTAGCGACGAACGGAAATACGTCTGCGGTCGCAGGCTATGCGCGTGTACAAATACACGAAAATTCAAGGGCCTCGATTCCAGAGAAATTACATCATTGTCAGGGATAAAAAAAAAAGTGATTTACATGGCACGTCATCTCAATCATCGCCGAAAATAAACCGCATGCTCATCACAAGTTCCATTTACATACAATGACAGTTTACAACACTCGACCGTCGCAGTCTTGCTAATTAAGATTCTTCTTTTTTTTACCACTGTAGTGTTCACTTGTTCCAAAGTAATCAACACTTTCAAGCGATAGAATTCGTGGACCGACCTGTTTTGGAAAAGCTCTAAATTTAATCTTTCCTAAGCTTTCTTCGCAAAACATGCGTGGCTTCGGTCACGCAACGATTCTTAGTCCCAGTTTCAACGGTCTCCGCTAGGAACGCCTGGGAGCATGACTCCCTTTCTGTGTCCTAAACACGAAGAAAAACGGCTTACAGATTATTAGTCTAGCTGCTTACGCAAGCGAGACTAATATCTTGAATTGAAACTTATTCTTCAGCAAAACGAGGTGGTATTTCAATAAAACTACAGACAAAAATGACCTTTAAAAGGGCTAACGTTGTGATGATATCTATTCCTCCGTTGCCTGAGATTTCCCTTTGAGGCCAAAAGTTTAAAGTTTTTTCTAACTTCGTGCGCTTGTCGAGGAAGTTTTCCCGGTCCGATGGCTCATCATCGTTCGAGAAATACGTGCCTAAAGCGTAGACAGGTTCATCTTTTATTTGAAGATCTAAAACTCCGTCCTTTCTGTGTTTCATTGAGTCAAGCCATAACATTTCGGATTTTGATAAGTTTATTTTCAGCTCTGCGCATCTTTCGAATCGGAAAAGAAATGCAAAAAGATTACTTACGGAATGAACGTTGGCGAGGATAGCTGTAGTATCAACCGCATATTGTGATAATTCAACGACTCTCTTATTCTGTATTTTGATACCTTGAATCTCATTGGAATTTCTAATATTTTGGGCAAGAACTTCTGTGGCAATGATAAAAGCAACTAAAAATACAAGAAAGGGGCAGGCTTGATGTACACCTCGTTCTATAAGAAAGAGTTTTGAAGCACAGTTGTAAATTAAGCACGCAACTGGTAATGTTGTAAAAAATACTGACCCAGCGCCTAAACTGTTGGCGGATATTAAAAGACTGTAAGACATAACTGAAGAAAATCTCATTCGATTGAATCGAAAGCTTTCTCGAAGTCTAGAAAGACGGTAATTTCAGGCAACTCAGTTTGCTTTGTAATCTTCATCTTAAGCTTTCGCCAATATATTGCACTTTTACATTGCCGGACTGGCTAGACGAAGGTATCCAGTTCCTTAAAACCTCCGAGTTCTTTTTCTTTTTTGGAATTAGAGAGCGAACTCCTTGTTTGTTGAGAGATTGAAAGTAGGCCGTTTTGAACGAAATGCATGGTTAAAACTCTCGACCGTATAGTTAGTTACCCATCAAAAGTGGAGATAAAACTCAGAGAGATTTCTATGTTGCATGCAATTTTACTTGTCAGCTTCTGTTTACTTGTTGTTTTTCACTAAATTTCCCGTCACCAAATAAATCGTGGAACTGTTCAGTTCTCTAAAGAAATTTCTTTCTAGTGATTCTAATCCAAAAAGTTAAAAATTCTACAGCTAACTCAGTATCAAGAATGTGCTACCGCGTTTGCAACCCATACAGATAAGTGTAGTGCAGATCAGGGAGCGAGGAACCGGAGACCCAGAGGCGGTCTCTTAGAGAGCTTGCTCGTAGGCTTAGATAAGTGCTTCTCGCAACTATTGTCCCAGGCAACGAATGGGAGAAAGCTCAAGCATCCGACACAGGCAGGCATTTGAAGAGGAAGGGAACGGGGAAATTATTAAGCACACAAGATCATCAAACAATACCGCCATTGCGCGTAGGCGTCTCCTTCTCCCCATCCTCGCGCGCACTGATTTCACGTTTCCCTTTCCCATTAACCCTTTGGTGACGGCCAGCAAATAGCGAAAAAACGGCATCTTTCACCAATTCCTCTCCTTTAGACTGGTTTTCGGCTAATTAGCATAAGAATGGCTAAAATGAGTTTTGCACTAAAAAGGCAAATTTTTTTCTGCTAATCTGACGTCATTAAACAGCTTTTTTGTTTTTCATGCATGCGCACAAGCCAAAATCTGGACTTGCCTTTCTTCTTTAATAGCATTTTGGTTGCCCACTTTATCTAGCATGGGAGAGTGGCGGGTCAACCTTTTAGGAAAGGGACAAATTTAATCTTCAAAGAGTAGAAGGTAAACAGCGAAATTGGCAGTGGATTTTTCTCCAAAATGTTACCTTTTTTGCGAGTGCAACTCTGTTAGGATTGGTCAGAATATCCAAAACGAGGTATCGCTGGAAAGATCTATCTTTGCTGACATTGTTGCTTACCAATTTGTTAACTTCACCTGAAAGCTAAATGGGTCCACGAAGGGAAATATGCATCGTTCCATATGGAACGAGAACGACGAAAGCAGTAACGCGTAGCAGGCAAGCTTCAGCTCTACGGCAGAAAATGAAACTTGAGCCCAACGTAAAAAAATGGTGTCAAGTATAGAGTACGGTCGTTGTCTTTTCGCCTTGTACAGCACATGGAGAAGCTACCTGTAGTTCAAGTAACAGTAAGACGGCAGCCATTTCTGCTTGTTTCTGGAGTGAAAACTACGATTTTATATTAAAACGGCTTAAAACTCCTAAGTATAAGCGCTATAGAAACATTTTGTTATGCTATGTAATAAAGAATCGAGTAAAGAGAAAAGTTTTCAAGCGGAAAGCGTTTTACAACGTACGCCAACTCTTTTGCATCTACTGGTAACAGTTAAAGGATTAGGGTTTTCGTGAGCCTAAAAAAACCTAATACCAACAGCTGCAAAGTTACAATTGTACAAAGGGGCCACCCTTTGAAATGAAACCTACTGACAGCTTATCTGGGATGACTCTTGTAGAGAAAGTGAAAGGAGGAAAACGGAGCGCAATCAGAAAGCGAGCTTAAGACGATTTTTAAAGACAAACAATCCGGATACAAGAAACTAGTAGCGTAAGTCAATTATATACAACAGACCAATAGAGGAGTTTTTATCTCCTGCACAAAGAAAAATTCAATCTCCATCTACAGAAAATCTGTGATTTATTCCAACCTGGATCCTCTTCCTCCAACGTGTGGAAGACTGAGTTCATTCGTTCTCATTTCCATTTGTCACCTATTTTCACTTTTTTAGGGTTAGGATATTTATCAATGTTTTTAAGTTGCTCTCAATTAGTAAAGGCGAATTTTCTTCCAGCATTTGTCGACCGCCACATTAATACAGTTTCATCATAAAGAGAGATAGAGCTCAAACTGTGGGTTAAAAAAATTGGAATCCTCTGCAGTGCTAAGAATTGTTTTGATGGAAATACTAGTTACCCTGGTATTCATACCTGATCTCCTGGTACTCATAGGAGCTAAGCTAGTCCAGCGGCCAGTCCTAGGATCAAGCCGTTCAATACTGTTTAAAATACGGTTTCCATCATATCCACCCACACAGTACAGTACGCCATCAAGGTTTGTTAGGCCAGCACCTTCTCTTGAAGTCTGCATCTCACTGACAAGAGTCCATGTGTCGATTGTTGGGTCATAGCACTCCACGCTAGTATGCCTTGTTGTACCGTCAAATCCACCAGCTACATAAATTTTCCCTGTTTTTCAATGAAGAGAAATACTTTAGACCTGCCAGCAGTGTGTACATTTTATGCCCCGAGCGCAAAGGCGTTTTCTCGAGGAGACTGGAACGAGTGGGAAGTTAACCTAACGGAGCCATTTCAGAAAAATGCTGAAAGTAGTAACTGAAACGCTCCTAAAAAATGAGAAAGTTTTGACGCCTCTTCAAAAGTAGCCTGCGTAGCATGGCGGATGTGGGCAAAGAAACCGCGAGGAGATTGGGCTTCAACGCTCGTTCGCGCGCGCTTTTGCGCCTTCGCCGCTCAGTAGTACGTTCGACAAAACCGCCATGCTACGCAGGCTACTTCAAAAGGTAATGTCTAATTAACAAAATAAAGATTAATAATTTAGGATTATAACTTTTTCTCATGCCATAACCGGTCTTGTACGCATGTGAAAAAATTCAGTTGTATTACGGCAATAAAATAACTCCACTAGCTCCATCAGTTTAAAAGCACAAAACCGCAAAAATGAAATTTACAACTGCAAATAATAACCTAGAAGACAACAGTATTTGGACTCAAAATAGGCGCAAAAATTTCTAATGATATTCTTAAAAATCATGCACTCAGATTAATTTCCAGTGACAAAACCAGACTGAACCAACAAGAAAAGTTAGTTCCCGCAAAGTCCAAAAAATCGCCAATCCGCAAAATTAAACTCCCGAGTGCTATAATATGGAACATAATTCATTTATTCAAAATATTTCGCCATTTCTGATTGGCTTAAATCTCGCGACTCTTTGTCGATGTCAATACCATTTTAACTACATACATAATTAGCACGTAACACGGGAAACAAGAAGCTCCTTCAAATTCCGTCGTGTCGATCCTGCACGTTAGTGGCATGGAGCATTGCGGCCCCGCTTAGACTTGCACGGTTCGGCCAATTCGTCAGAGTTCCGTCGAAGTGACTTGGAAGCTTCGCCCCTTCAACCCTGGTGGCGGTTGACGCCGCATACCCTTTTGTCCTGGCGGTCGCGCTTTCCTCCCACAGTTTCTCGTGACGGGATAATAGGTATGTAGTGCGAGTACTAATATACTATAACAATGGTATCGACAACGATGGAAAAAGGGACGCAAGGCGCATTCAACGTCACACCGGAAAATAGAGAAAAAAGGAGAGATTTTACACGATATGCGAAGACGAAAAATTCGAACTACTGGTTCGTTTAAATTGGGGTATAGACATTTTGAGGGTGGAGATAATTAGAATGAACAATAAACAAACTATTGGATTCGGCTTTGTATGGTATGAAGAATTATGCAGGTCTCGGAGGTCAGGTGTTTTCAATTAAAACGGAGAAACAAAGAGTAACATAAACGCTCCCTTATTCGGTCCTTAACATTTTTAAAAGAGAAACAGACTGTTTGCACTGGTATTTATTCTCAATGTATTAGACTGGTAAGAGCTTTTAGAATCAGTTCAAAACTGTTTCCATTTCCTGTTGCTTCTTGTTACTTCATCATATAAAGTAATAATCAAGATAAAAATTGTTTTTGTATTTGCTCTTGTGATGTGGTAAACCCTAAAGGACTCGCATTTCTTCTTTCTCTCAAATGCACTGAGTTCAATGAGCAGGATATAACTACTTTACAAACCAACGTCTAGGTCGATTAATCAATGGCAAAAGCGGATCCCAACACAGGAAAACCTGTTTGTAACATTCGTAACGTGCATTCTCGCTGTTATCATTAGTAAGAACTGTACCTCCTAAGGTAGTTGCTCCTGCCAAACCACGCCTCTGTAACATGGGTGTCATGTCTTTCCATTGGCATGTCGACGGATCAAAACATTCCACAGTATTTAGTCGACTAGAAGCATCATAGCCCCCAATAGCATAAAGTCTACTGTACAAGGCAACTGCACTTAGGTATCGCCGCTTTCTTTTCATTGGCTGGAGGACAGATTAAGATGGTTGAAGTCAGATAGTTTTAACTATCTTAAAAGAAATCACGAAAAAAATGTAACAGCTTTACGGGCAAAATATATTAACACTTCGACACAGAAAAAAATTTCATGTATGTATAAAATTCAATATTTACAACAAAAGTGATCATTTTTAGAGTAAAACGGAACGTAGAAAGGCTGATCTTGAAATAGAGAATCTGAAAAGAATAAAATTGATCAAATACCTATCTGCTTGTTAAAAACACTCTTCAGTATGAGTTAAAGATGCAAAAACGCCATTGCTCGTGATCTATGTTACGCAAAATACTCTACGCGTTTTTTTTCCCCACCAAGTCTATCGTCACAAGGGATGCTTAAGCAACGACGACGGAGAAGACAACGGAAAGGGCAAAAAGCAATAGGTTTAGATTGGCAAAACAACAACTCTGCACATGCATCACGCTTTTTTGTACATTTCTTTGCCGTCACTGCACGACTAAGAAGTGAAAATGCCTGAGTTTAAGCTTTGTCAAAGACGTAAACACAAATAAACGACTTTCTTTTCCTTTTCCTGAACTTCAATACAGTCTTTTAGAATTTAACTCCAGAAAAAAAATGTCAACATTTGAAAAGCGCGATGAAGTTTGAAGCAGCGCGACTACCCTTTTTAAGTAATGTTTTCGTAGTCGTCGCCGTTGTCGTACCGTAAAGTAGCAAAAAATGTTCTAACCCCAAACGCATGTAGTGACCTTAAATCAACTGAGTGACCCGGCTTTGACATCACTCGACACTCATTTTCAATAACTACAAGCTGTTGTAAGTCCGTCTGCCGATGCTCACCTGTACTATACACCACTGATTTGTAGCCGGATCATACTTTTCCACAACATCGACTGGAGACTGTAAATTTCCAAAACCTCCCAAGACGTACATTACTTCTGCAAGGCCAATACGCGACTTGGTTCTACTGTTATGCATCAAATAACGACACTCCGGCCTCAAATGATACCTTTTTGCCTCATCTACTAGGTCTCTGCAATCGAGGCTTTGTCTTATCAGGAGCTACAAAGTAAGACATAACTGTACTGTTACCAGTCGGCAGGAAGGAACTGGAGCTTTGTCTTCTTACTGTCAACATTCCGCTTTACACGCCAGCCGCTATTCTGTTCAAAATGGTTTACCTTCAGAGGTATAACAATTTTAAAATCCCATCCAGGATATAACTTTCACCGCGGCAGGATTACCTCAGTCGGTAAAACGCTTGACTGCAGAGCGGGAAGTCGCGGGTTCGATTCCCGGGGCCGGACCAATACTCAGGGTCTTAAAAATAACTGAGAAATGAAGGCACTTCCTTTGCCCTGCAGGCGGCTGGACCTTCGCGTGGCTCGGATGACCACGTAAAATGGCGGTCCCGTCTCCATTAGGAGACGTAAAATATAGTGTCCCAATTAGTACTTTCGTGCTAAATACATTGACACTCAAGTAAAGTGCTTTTTTTTTTTTTTTTTTTTCACTAGGTGTATCTAAAAATCTTTTTAGACATCATGGCTCAACTGACAGACCACCCATAGAGGGTGGCCCCTTAATACGTGGTTGCTTAATGGAGGTTGAACTGTTCATTCAACTGACGTGATACAACTCACTTAGACAATGAAGATGACTCCCACACAGGTTGCTGAAACATTAGTCACCGTCAACAACAATCCTATTCAGGACGATCATAATATTCTTTCTAATTATTAATGAAAAATTGTAATACCATCATCACGTCAGTTGTCGCCCTCGCGGTGGTTACAAGAGGATTCAACTAAGAGGGCTTTGACTGAGAAAAACTTGCCGTTCTGAGTAGATGGTCAGTTAAGGTGGCTAAATAGGGTTTTTCATGGTCAATACCTCCCTAGTTTGAGCATAAACTACATCGCCATTAACAAAGATTTGGCAAAATTACCACCACAGTTATATTAGATAAAAGATGAAAATTTGTTATGATCAGGGTTACAATGACATCGATATAATAATATATGTGTGCTTGCAGCTTCTGATAATAATCAAATCCTTCTAGCAATCGGCTAGAGCGATCTCCATGATCTTTCACACACATTTCTAAAAAGAGTAAAACTACTATGAGGTGAAATTGCATTTCAAACACGGGCAAACATCAAGATTGTCCAGTTTTCAACGTATTTCTAACCATAAAAACTTCACCTCAAAATATCCCCATAACGTTCTTACAGATTTCGCTTAACCTTCGAGAACATCGAGATGATCATTGGAAGAAAAGTTCCCGTGAACGATTCTGGAAGAAAAGTTCCCAGCTGCAAGTAAAATAAGTAATGGCGTAATTTCGTTGCTATGGCAACTCCGATGTCATTATGTCATTATAACCCTGATCATATTTTCCTAGGGTGGGCACCCCGCATGGGTCTGAGTGTCCCGTTCGTGCCCATCCCTTTTGGGCTTTAATTCTTTATGTTTGTATATATATATTTTTTTTGCGCTTTGATCTTGCCCAATAAAGCTTGACAAAATAAGTTTCTTCCAATACAGCTGTACTGTTGATTTTTCCAAATCTTTGTTAATGGTGATGTTGTTTATGCTCAAACTTGGGAGGGAACTGACCCTGAAAAACCCTATCGAACCACCTTAAAGGACGTTGGTTCCAACTTTAGTGCTTTGACTAGTCTGCGTAGCAAGTGTTTACGTGCGGTTTAGGAGCAAAGAATGAGGAACAAGAGTCAAAGACCATGCCAAAAATAGACTACGAGTAGTCGCCTTTCTCGCGTGGGGTGATTTTCACGAGTACTCTCGTTTCGCTCGCTCTACTATCTCTGAGGAAAAATGGGGACTACCCGTAGTAAACTCGTAGTCTACGCGACAATCTACGCCAAAAATGGCTCTCGTTCCACTTCTCGGTCTTTCTTTGCTCTGAAACCAAAAGGAAACGCTTGCTACGCAGGCGCAGGCTATGCTTTGACAGGCAAATTGCTTTTTGTGTTTTGGTAAGGTGGTGTCTTATGGGGGGTGGAGGCTCACCTGTAATTCGAAGGACCCCAGGTGTGTGATTTTTACTTTACTTAAGGCAAATAATATATATAACTCACTTCATTGTCGACTGTGTCTGTTAAATAACGTGGTGTTAGGAGTGGCAAGCGAACAAACTCCATCATTTTAGACAGGGAATCCTTTCTTTTACTTTCATCATGCTTTACCCAAGAAATAACAGCTTCAAAGACAGCTTCTTCAGATGGCACCTGCAAATCATGCAACAACAAAGGTACATGCATGGTTTAATATTACAGCTTGTATTCACAATTTCAGGCAAGCAAAAGCTATACAAATGTGGGACTGACCCAAGCATAAGCATTGGAGGTTTAAATACAAGATAGGATGGCTTGAAATGTGTCTTGTAACTTGTCTATCTGTATTGAATATATATATAGCTGATTCAATAAAGGTTGCTTTGGCATTAGTGAGGCCCTGCCAGGGTAAATTTCAACAAGAGACATTTTCAAAAAGTAGCGACAGAGCATAAAATAACATCACAACAAGAGACAACCTCCCTTGGCCAAATTGTTACAGTGACGGCAAAGCTGAGAATAACTGATAAAGAACAGTGGTTTGGCTAATTTATAACAAGCCTGAATGCCAAGAAGAAGTAAGGTGTTTCAATTTGATACGCAAAATGTTAACTGAGAAACTGCAGAACTGCACGGTTTCTTTACAACACATCGCTATCCCCCTTTTCTAAAATTCTGACATAGACAGAGAATTTTTGTTCAATTTCTGACAGCTGTGTGAAGCATTTATCAACACCGACACAAAACATTTTAACATTCCAACTAATGACACAGGACCCCCACCCCCCCTACCCTGGTAGGGCCTCATTAGTAATTGCACACTGGGAATCTATTGTTTGGTGGTCAAACAAGCAAATCATTGAACTATTCTGTATGCTCAATAACCCAATGCCCAACCACCAATGACAAATTGCCAAAGCAACCTTAATTGAAGAAGGTATCTTTAATCTTTTTAAATCTGTTATTACCATTATTGCCTATAGCAAGCTAATCTGGTTATATATGACAGCTTATTTTTTCAGCATATACAGTTAAACCTCTCCACAATGGCCTTCTTGGAGCAGGGGCTATTGTAAGAGATGGCCATTATAGAGAGGTTAAACAAAGCAAATACCATAACAAGCGGCCAATTGTCACTGATAAAAAGATGATGATCTCACTTACAGTTAAATTATCACATTTTATAAGAGACTCAACATCTTCACTGGACAGTTGAAGGAACTCTTCACTCTCCACTAAATTAATAAAATGCTTCAGGATGTACTTTTCAGCTGCTTTCCTCAGTTCCTCACAGCTGTGGGTCTCCGCAAATGTCTTGATGCCCAAACAATTTGATGGATCCAACTGCTGTTCTAAAAACTCACAACATGCACTTTGTACATCTGAAATTAAAAAAACACTATTTACTTTCCATAATTTGTATATAACCATTTATGGGAGGCATTGTTATTGATGTTCATTAAAAATAACACTTAAGCGATGTGTTCCTAAGTATTGATTAATAATAAATGTTGTAGTTGTTCTAAAGTGACATCAAAGTTCTTCGAGTGCAGTGCTTGCAAATTTGAGGGCATAAGAGACAAGATCATCTAATTATTTAGTACATATGACTGAAAAGTACTCAATAGAATTAAAACCTCCTTTAAAACGTCCAAAACCTTACACAGAACGATATTAATATTTAAATTTGTATTTATTTATAGACAATAAGGGAGTACATTACAAGGAAAGTGAAGACAAACTCCAAGAAAAGAGTCTCAGGAATAAACATTGCACTGTGAAGTTTGCAACTGAGTTTATAATAACTTGACATTCACAGGTAGTTTACACTTAGTACAGTTGATTGGACTGGTAAGATTTGCACTTTAAAAGGAGATGAAGGACTTCGTGCCTGGTGCAAAATCTACATGGGCAAACACGAAAAGTCCATGCAAGAGAGAGAATCAAGTAGCATGAGAATGAGAAGGACAAACAACTTACTCTCACCCAGGGAACTTTGAATCAGTGCAGCTATAAGAATGGTCATCACAAGCTGTGGAATGAGTCGAATGAGGTATAGTATGTTGAACCCACACTAGCTGACATACGTATTGGGTAAAGAGGTCATCAATCATGCAAGATTCCACCAAACACAACTTGATTTATAGCATAACAGTAACCCTGGAACATTGATTGCAGCAGTCAAGAATAGTGGCACCATAGAAACAGCTGAACTTTGCACAACGAATTTCAACAATGCTATAAAATAAACCTTTAATGAACATAAATGGCCTATTTGTCAATGGGATTTAAATAGAAGGAAATTGTGACAGAATGAGATGCAACAGGCAGATAGAACAACACAGAAGATGAAAATATCAGGTGATTAAAACGAAGGATCCTAAACAAAGCTTATTAGGACTATCTTTTTTCAATATCTTTATTAATTATATCAACTACTTTTGTAACAATCCTTCCCTTAAGTCTTTCCTTAAAGACACCACTTGCACTCTGGTGACACATCTCTGGCCTGTTTAACAATAATTATTTAAGCAATAGAAAACATTTTCCGTGTTTTAATAGCCTGATATAAACACAAGAGCGGTTGTGAGAATTTGAGATTCAAAACCCGAGACAAAGTCAAGGGTTTGCATAACTATCGAGAATTCTCCCAACCCCTTGAGTGTTTTTATCAGCCTATGCAAATACAGAAGCAAAGTTTTCTAGTGCCTTTATAAATTCACTCTCCCAAGAAAAAGTGTGAAACTCTTTGTTACCGGACTGCTTAAAAGAGAAATTCTTACCAGTTGTAAAGTCGTGTACACGAAGCCTTGCTCGCATAATCAGTTCTTGTTTTGCCAAAAAATATGCTTTCCAAAACACAGATTTTTCTCGCTTAAAATGTCAGCTTAATCGAAAACAAACTGACATGGCATGTTTGTAAAGATTTTCCAAGTTTCAGCTAACGAGGGAATGGGTAAATAAAGTAAGCTTGTCAAGTTTTCAACTCGAAAACTTTTTCAAATTCGTGCTTGCATGATTAGCATGGGTCTGCCACCCTAATAGAGAGAGTCATATGAGGACCTTGAACCACAATGAGGCTATCGTAATTATGAGAACAAAAAACACATGGGTATTCAAGGTGAGTTCGCAACTGAGTATGGAATATTAATTTTGCACTTTGGTCTTTGCTACAAATAACAAAATGGCAAAGGAATGCAAGAGGTACCACAGTCAATTAGCACAGCTGATAGCTATCAAGAAAGGGAGCAATATTCCAAAACCATCCCATGTATCGGAACCAGAAAATCTCCTTATGTACTAAGACCTATCTTTTTTTGTCTTAGACCCTATAGGGCAATAAGAAATGTTCTGCATGATGCTAGGGATACTGACACTGCCACTAAAACTGTTCAAGGAGCCATCCATTTATTTCTATATATATTTTTTGATTTTGTAGAATTTTTATACGTGTAGTTTCATTTATTTACATTGCTTGTCAAGAATTTAGCAGCAATAAATGTATCTAGGCCGCTTAGTCCAGCTCCAACAGTCTCCTTGCATTCTGTTCTAGTTTTACTATTGAGCACTCTCATAGTAGATGAGGACATTAATCTAGTATTCCAGCCGCTCCAGTATAGTAATGGAAGTATATTTCCTCTTATGGATCAGAACCAGAACCTTATTCCTACAGCTAAAATCTGCACATTAACGCTGAAACTGTTGAAAGGGTCAACCACTATTTGTTTCCACAGAATTTCTTAGAATTTCTAAATAATATTTCTATTATTACTTTTCCTCATTTAAATTACTTTTTCTATAAATTTGAATGCCTGTATTAATAAATGTTTAAATAAGGGAAAGGTAATAATCATACTTAAAGCAGAAAATAAAAGTTACAAGGCTACCAATATAAAAAATCAATAGACAGTCGCCCTGTAAATAGTTTAGTTATTGACTAATTACAAATAAATTCAATATTGTTTTAAAAAAATGGAAAAAATAAATTACTTATATAATTAATACAAAATATAAGCAATCTTGGATATACATTTTTTTAAAAATTCGAAGTTTCTAATGGAAAGGACAATTCTGTGGAAAAATCCCAAGAAATTGCAAGTTTGTATCACACAGGTTTCCTAGTATACTGTATATGCTTACATATTGCAGCATGCCAATGCTGCAATGCTATGCTGCTTGAATTTTACTTAACACCCTTTTCACCTTTTGGATCAAATGGTCAAATAAATAGCTGACCTGTCAATTGTAACAAACAAGCAGCAGGAAGCAGAGCTTGCACATTTTCCACGGTGACTTGAATTGACTCAGTGTAAACAAAGTCCAGAAGAAATTCCATAGTATCAGAATCCAAGCCATGAAGTTCAACTACAGACTGGTGACTCTCCTCCAAATCCCCAGTAAACATGGCACAAAAGTAGTCACTGCAAGCGGAAAGTACCACACGATGTGCACAAAATTCCTTTTCTCCAACTCTAAGAGTAACATCACAAAGCTTTTTCTCCTTCCTCAGCTTGTTGATAGATTTGAGGATGCGATCTGAGTGACCACATGTTAAAAATGTTTGGTTCTCAGGAAAAGGACCCATTGGTATCAAGATGCCACCTGTTCATCAAAAAAAAAACAACAACAAAAAATAGTATAACAAATTTGTTACAGTGGAACCTCAATATAATGAAGAGCAATCATTCTCAGGGTTCTCAATAGAATTTTGTACAGCCACTGCTGTGCTACTTGTACCGCTTAACACATCGCATGCTCCCTTGTGAAAATTTTGACTTAACATGTTCAGAAATGCTTTTTCCCTCCTTCAGGCAGCATATTTTCTCATTTTCTCCCAACACTTTTGTGTGACCTGAGGCCTGAACTAAAATGTTCAAATTCAATATGGTGGCGGTGGCCATATAAAATGTAACGTCCCATAAAATATATCATGTGGAAGCGTGTGTAGCCAAGCTGTTGACAATTCGAACTGCGGATCTGGAGGTCCGGGGTTCAAGCCTTGCCTGTCGCATTGTTTTCTTAGACAAGGAACTTTACTCCACTTTGTCTCTCTTCACCAAGTTGCATAAATGGGTACCAGAGATATACTGCTGGGGGGTAACCCTGTGATGGACTAGCATCTCGTCCAGGGGGGGGTACATGTAGCAATACTCCTAGGCATGCTTCATGATAAGGAAACCGGGATATATAAGCTCCGGCATGTGCGCCTTTACCTTTACCTATGGAATTTATTTGTGCAAGGGTTGTGAACAGAAGAAATGCAAGACTATGCAAAACATAATACTCAAATAGATGTTATCTACAATAGCCTGGAACAGCTCTACAGTGGGAAAAAAGGCAAAAAAATTCAGCAAGAGAAGCAGACTGAGGGAGAGTCTGGGGAGGGGAAAGGCGATGGAGCCTGGAGACACTTTCCTACCCCTTTGAAGTGAATTTGAAAGGAAAAAATGCCAATCAGTGTTTCTCAAGAGATGCTCAATATTTTCAGCTTCATAATAACAGCAAGTTGCAGACCAGCTTGCTAAGGTTGCAGATTGTATTTGCTGCAAGTGCATTACAGTTTGGCTTTTTAGCGACAGATCCTTGCTTTTTTCATGAAATCTACCATTGAATTCATAGTGCACTGAGGCAAATCCATGGTGAACTTACTATAAATCCTCTTTTACGCCCCCATGGGGCTTATTTATTTCAAACACATTTAGGGGGGGGGGGCTTATTTGAGAGGGAAGGGCTTAGTAAAGGATTTATGGTAGTCGTTTCCCAAGGATGGATCAAGGACTGCTTTCAGCTTGATTCATCAATCGGCCATTGAACCCAATTGAATTTGCATGTGGATTTGCATCTTCCTGGTTCATAGTTTTCACAAAGTTGGTTATGTAACTAATGGTTATTGTAAGGAGTAAAACTATTTTACCAGCTATTTTCTATGAGGTGAATGTCATGCAATATGAAAGCATCTCTTCCATGACAGTGGTGTCAGGTTATAAATATCCTACGCTGTTGAAAGAGCATCTCAGTTTTTATCACACAGTGGACACAAAAATCAAAATGTTCATCAGATAAAGGCCCAACTGAGAAGTTGAGGCACAAATTTTTTGCTGAGCAGATTTTCATCATCCACATGACATTCATTGTTCGGAGTGAACAAGGAAATTCAAGGCAAATCATTTCATGATAATTGAGCTGTCAAATTGCCCAGCAGTTTTAGCATCGATAGCATTATTCCAATGAGACTGAAATCAAAACACTCTCTTTTTCAGTCACGATAGTAAAGGAAGCGTACCATTCAATTCCAAAACCGCCCATCCCTGGGCATACCCGGGCATTTGACTGGAGTTTCTCTCCACACAATGAGGAAATTGACCCATAAGTGAGGCCTGCCTGGGTGGGCATTTGACTTTTATGTCAAAATGCTGGTCAGCATCACAAACAAAAGGATTTCATAATTCTTTCATTCAGCATGTGCACTGCATTCATGAGTCATTGCTGCTAAATTTCACTGTTTTGTTGGAGCATTTGAGAGCCTTTGAAAAAGCCCGTTAAAGTGGGCTTCCCAGAATTAACAATTTTAATGAAATAAACAAACCTCTCTAAGACAGCTTTCCAAGGCCTAAGATATTTCAGTTTTAGTAGGATATTTACATTTGAATAGACGGTTTGACGCATAGGAACATTTTTGAATAGTCCCTGGTGGGTGACAGATTTGAGAATTTTCAAAGTGCTAGGTGGTGGGGCATTTGACCATCTAAACTGTCAGCATAACGGGGAATTTGAGCAAAAATGTTCAAGCAAACCCAAGGTCCGGATGGGGAAGGGGGGATAGGCAGTTTTGGAATTGACTGGTATAAAATCAGCTGGTACGTTTTTCCAGTTGGAACGGTTTTTCCGTTTATGTCCGTTTTGCCTTTCACGGTCACATATTTTGAATTTATAATAAAACAATGATTGAATTCGGCTTTCCAATGATGTGAAGAATTATCCGCTCGGAGCTGTATCCAGCTGTATCCACGTCGGCCATTGATCTTCTCAATCTGCATAATTCTTCACATCATACTTCTCGTCCTGCTTGCGTAAACTCTTGATACAACCAAGATAAATGGTCACTTATTTCAAACTATTAAAACGTTTCCATAAATACCTTGTTTCGTCCGATTCTGCAGTTTCTTCTCCTTTCAAGATGGCCGTCTGTTTAAAATTCGTCTGTTTACTCTTCGTACGCTCGTCCCCAAGTCCCCGAGTGCCCGGGGTGTGCGTGGCAAGGTGCAGCATTGAATCTCGGGTAAAACTGACGGTCCCTCTCTCCCCCCCCCCCTCCCACTCCAACCTCGTCCTTGAGAAGCTAATTTATATGCAACCCGCTGGTTTTGCGCTGACAGAAGTCGAACGGAACAACAATGGGAAATAATAATATCGCGAACTGCATGTCAATATTTTCGCGTCTGTGCGATTCAAAAGCTTAAGATCCATTTAATTGCGTATTATTCAAATGCTACAAGTACCGGCTCTACGTTGTCACGTACAAAATATGTCAAATGCTTCAGAGTTGAGACAAGCTGTTATCGAGTAGTACTTCGACTGAAATTCATCGTGACTGTGGAATTACTTGATCAAGCAGAAAGTGATTTTGTCCAATGTCAAACAAAAATACGGGCCTTTGCCTCTAGGATCTGCAGCGAATTTAAACAAATTGGACTTAGAATTGTTCATCAAAATACTTCATGGAGTCTGGTCTTCTCTACAACCCGACCATGAAACAAACAAATCTCCGCGCCGGATGCAAGTCAGCCCTCCCGCCAGGAACGATGACAGGTCGCCGATCTGAAACATTTTAAGATCTCTTATATCTTTTCTCTTCCGAGGATAAGTACAAAGGATTTTCCTTATATCAAAGGGAAGATTGACCGATCGATTGGAATCAACTACAGCTCTGTCAATTTTAAATGGACCCAAGTCTTTCTTTGTTACCAGTCGTTTGATACCCTGGGTGCCAGAAACTTTTCATGCCCGGTTTCCGGTTTCGGTCAAGTCTCGGACTTTTCCAGTACAAACTTTAAGCATGTACATAGCCATTTATATCCCTATAAAGAAGAAATATCAAAAATGACAAAAAAAAATAAATCCTCTGTGAAAAAAAGAAATCAAAAACTTTTCGTTAATCGTCAAGAGATATAAAAGGCTCGCGCGCTGTGAGGTTACGCAAATATCAGTGTTCAACACCTCCAAACCTTGTCTTTCCCGCCCCACCCATTTTTAAGCCTGTTGATGCCGACCGTTCAAAATGTTTAAACTTGATCATTTCTCCAAATTTCGTTCAACCCTCTTGTCCTTTTTTTGCCGGTTGAAAAATCATTGTCCATGGACCCAGACCATTACAGTGGGGTACATGGACCCGGTCCATATAAGTTATTGGAACAGGCAGTTCATGATATTAGCTATTTTCTCCATGAAATGAAGCTACTTACAGGTGATCGCAGGCTAATCAAACACTTGCATGACCGTCCAATACCTTTTTGGTAACTGCATAACTTTGTTATGAACTCCTTGCCTGTAACATGAGAGGGCAGGGACCGCGGAGGGCGAGGGGCTGGTAGGGCTATAGCCCTACCACTTTTGTTGCTGGGATTTATTTTCTAGGGCTCCAGTTGACATGGAAAGAATTCCCGTGGAATTTTTGGACTTTGCCCTATGGAAGAGTTACGTGTTTGTATGTCCGAACGATTACAACCCGATTTGCTTGCAAGGATAATAAGATGTAAGGCCCAAAATGGAAGGAGCGATTTGACTTTTTCTTTGCTTTTCATCTTGGAGAGCACCTTTATTCCCACACCGATAATCTATCTAAGGATTTTCAGGGTACTAAGATGGCTGCTGTCATTGGACAACGCCTGCCAAAACTAACAAAGAACACACTGACAAAATTTCGCACTGATGAAAGCTTGGACCATTTCTATGCTGATGTTGCCTGCAAGAGTGAAGACCTGCTTAGCGAACCAACGCTTCCAAGAAAACGACGCACTTTGGTCAGACTGGAGGTTGGTGCTGGTGCACCAAGCTATCCCCAAACTGCCAAAGATCACTTTAGAGGCGTCTATTATGAGGGTATTCATCTTATCGTCGGGCTATATATCACCGCGTTAATCAGGAAAGCTTCACCTCCTACGCCCAGATGGAGACCCTCTTGGTTAAAGCTCATATTGGTGACAACGAGGCAGAGTTCAGTTTCGTGATGCGTCATACAGCGAAGATGTTGATACAGGGGCGCTATCTGAGCAACTAAGTATTTTGGAAGTTATGTTAAAGGAGGAGAAGATATCATGTTTTAACGAAATCCTGTTGGCGGTGTTAAAGTTTCCAGAACCAGAAAAGAGGCTAATTCAGGAAGTCCAAACTATCTGTAAGCTGCTTGCTGTAAATCCTGTTACCAGTGCTGCTGGCGAGAGTTCACTCTTATCTGCACGACGTCTGAAGACGTCGCTTCGATCCAAGATGCGTGACGAAAGGTTTAGCAACCTAGCAGTGTTGCCGGAATGGTCACAAGCGGAGAACAGACAGTGTCTCTATAGCTGACGTCGCACAGGAGTTTGTTTCCCGCAATGAAAACCTCAAGAGAAACTTCAGCATTGCGGACAACTTCAAAAAGTAGCAATCTTAGGAAGGTTTATTTAACATATTGGCTATACTGGACACTATAACAAGTGACGACGTTTATGTTATATTTGCTGAGGTTGTAAATAAGATGGCGCGCAAATGCAAGATAAATGGCGAAACACTGAACTTAATGCTTCTTTGTACTGGCCAGATTTTTTAGTCCCACCACTTTAAAATGGTCTCCGCGGTCCCTGGAGGGTTGTCTTACACACATAAACGAGACTTGTACACAGTCAGTACCATCATTACCATTAAGAAACGGTCCAGATAAGAACGATAGCAACAACGGCAACGAACATGTTGGAATGCAAAAAAGGTGCTAACTTTTCTATTGTCTGTACTTACTTCTGATTGGCTTAAACAGCAAAAGTTAACAAAACTTCATAAAGTACATACATTCATTCTTACTTTCCAACCATCTTCCATATAACAAAATCTGGTATCAGTTTGAATAACAAAGAAATCCTATGTGGGGAACATACAAAATTGTAAACTTTTCTCGGCTATTGTTTTCAACTCTTGTGATTGGTCAAAATCTTTTAACACAAAAAAAACCCTTTCAAAGTGGAGTGTAAATGCATTTTATTGCGTAAACGGCCTTCATGTAGGTTTATGCATTCTCTGTGTAAAAATGAGAACATTTCTATGTGGGGAAAGCACCGTTGCCGCATAACAAAAGAAATTGCTATCCACCTTACCTGGATCACTACTTAACAACAATGCTAAAATGGGGAAGTAGGTTCGTACCATTTACATGGGAAATCCGAAAATGCTGAATGTTTGCGCCATTCCGTTCGGGGAGCTTCAGAAAACAGGCTGTGATTTGAGGGGATGCAATTTTCCCACTCTTTTTAGACTGTTCAGCTGGTTTGGATATACTTTAGAGAGGGTTATTTTGTCTATTTTAGGAGCACGTCAAATTTTATATTTTTGTGTTGTTTATGCACAAGATTTCCACCCGGCTGGTTTGCATAAATAGTAAGCACCGAAGAGTCAACTGGAAAACTATGTGCACATTACATCTCATTTACTGCAGGCCGGGTTTGAGAACACTCAAGTCTTATAACATTCCTTGATTTCATAGAAGCAGCTTTGACCTTGTTAAATGATGTCAACTACGATGAGTTATAACTAATGCAGTCAGAAGTATATTTAACAATTATTCGCCGAAGGCGAAGTTAATATTGATGAATAATCCCCGAGACGAGTGTAAAGTAGCAGGGAATTGATGGGTGCATGATGCCAATCACAGTTAAGATATATTTCAATTAAGGATTTTTTTTTTCAAATTAAAAGTAGCAAACTGACAACAAACAAAAATTTAAGATGTATCTTTATATCTGGACTACGAAGGCGTCCATGAATCTGGGCAAAGCATCCTTGCACCAAAAACTTTTTATAATTTATACTAATTAAATGACAATTCGAAAAGAACAGTCCATTGTTTACTAAAGTAACTACCAATACATACATGGCCTAAACTTGTCTCCCTCACTATATAAAACCTCTCGTTATTAATTACAGGGTGTCACGGGGTCCAAAAATACAGGAATATAGGACCTAGCGACCTGAAAATATAGGACAAATGCCCAACAAAACTGCAAAAATATAGGACTTATCCGCTAGTAACTTACAGGCCCAACACAGGGTTCTATATTTCATTTAATATGTTGCCAAGATTATAACGCCAACAAAAGAGAGACTCTTTTTCGGTTTCAAAGATATCTTTTAGACTTATAGTAAGT